GAACGATCGCAGGCAAGGAGGGATTGGGGCGCACTGCCACATAATTATTTCAGATATATATTTTATTTATCGAATTTAGTTTAAAAACGATTATAGGTATGCGTTTATGTGTATTTATATATATATATAATATATATTATAGTACGAAAATAATTCATAAATGCATCAGTATTTTTCAATACAAATTAAGCAACATAATAATATACTAAGAGTCCTCAGTTAGAACGCCTCTGTGTATAGTGGCAAGCCAACGAAATAACGGCGAGTTCGCGCAGACATTGTGTTGTTGAAAGTAACCAAATGACGATTTTGTCGACAAACATACATATATACATATGAGCTCGCATACATATTGACGCCGAATTTTGCGCATCGTGGCGGAGTTGACAAAATTTGTTTCAATCAACAATTTTACGACAATGTCGATCGGCTATGTTATCTCGTTTGTCCTTTTTGCAGGGCTTTGCTGTTGAAAATTGACTTATGCTCTTTTGAAATATTGCGATTACCGATTGGGCTGCATTTTCATAGCGTCGTATTTGGATAAAATGGGCTAAATCGACAAACTATGAAATAATGATAATAAGTAAACATATAAAAGTACTATATGGACTGTGCTTAGAATATATAGAAGTAGTTAATGATTTCATATGAATGGCAATTTAATATAAATTTTGTAATTTAATGCCATAAATAGTGCATAATATGCAAAACTATAAATATTATTTAAACTCGCCATGACCTCTTAATGTTGCCAATTCTCCTTTTTGAAGTGAACATCAGACAAATTCTTCAATTTCTGATTTTTAGCAAATGTTGTGAGGAAGCAGCTTGTGGGCAACATACAAACGCGAGGGGGATGGTAGGATTTTCAGTGATACAAATTGTAAAATTGAAATTTTGCTGATTCTTCAATTTTACTGAAGACATTCAAATTCAATTTCATTCATTTTTATTTTCGCGCATTTGCGGTAGGAATTCTATATGAAAACCAAATGTGGTTTACCAGGCGCACAGAAAAAATAGCGCGGCGCAGAGTTATGAACGAACGCACTTTGCTTTGAAGCAGCGCACGTTCCTTATGAATGAATTTGTTGTCGTTGTAATATAAAATACTTAGAAAATATGCCGCGAGTTCGCTTGAATATTATTGGCCGATGATGGTGCGTCTACGTTTTTTTGTCACTTGCGCGAATGTTTGATTTTTTGCGAAAGACATATTGAGGGACATACATATGTACATATGTGTACATATATGCAAATATATTTGGACATGCGAATGAAGGAAGGCAATTTCAAGAATATTCACATATAGACATATGAACATTGAAGCAAGTAAACAACAATAGCTGTTTGAGTTTACAGATTAGACAAAATTACTCGAATATCGTTTGTGGTGCTGCTTGTATAGCACACTTCTTTATGGCAATGTAAAATATTTTGCCTAAGTTCATATCCTATCACATATTTTTATATACTCTTTTTTTATTTTTATAACTCTTTTTTATTAAATGATATTTTAGTTCTATTTTCATATTATTTCCCTCATTACTTATATTTTCTTTTCATAAGTCAATTATTTTCCTTTTTATTATTTTAAGTTTTGTTTATGCGCATATCAAAGAACATCTGTGCATATGTATGTGTATACATTTTGCTTATAGAGTGGTGTAGTTCGTTTCGTACCCTGATAGTTGTGGTGAAATTTTATTTTCCAATTTGCGCGTTTTCGATGTTCCTTCTTAGCAATTAACATTTTAGTACTGCTAACATTTGCTCCTTCTCTACTCATCAACATTCTCTGGCTGAACGCAATTCAGTAACTTATATAGCAAAAAATTTAGTTCTGACAAAACCTTAAAAAAAACCAAATGACAACTGTGCTGACAAACATATGTATATACATACGAGCTCGCATACATATTGACACCAAATTTTGCGCATCGTTGCGGAGTTGACAAAATTTGTTTCAATCGACAGTTTTACGACAATGTCGGTCGGCTATGTTATCTCGTTTGTCCTTTTTGCAGTGGTTTGCTATTGAAAGTTGACTTATGCTCTTTTGAAATACTACGACTACCGATTGGTGTGCATTTTCATAGCGTCGTATTTAGATAAAATGGGCTAAATCGAAAAATGAAATAATGATAATAAGTAAGCATATAAAAGTACTAAATGCAGTTTGCTTAGAATATATTAAAGTAATAAAGGATTTCATATAAATGGCAATTTTATATAAATTTTATAATTCGATGCCACATATACTGCATAATATGAAATAAATTAAAATAATATCCAATTCTCCTTTCTGAAGGGGACATCAGACGAATTCTTCAATTTCTGATTTTTAGCATCATCGTGAGGCAACATGCAAATTTAGTACTTTTTGACATTTGCGCCTTCTCTATTTATTAACATTCTCTGGCGTCATAAGTATTTCCTATTCATAAAGATAGAAATATACCAAAAATACTACGTGAGATATCATGCTACTAATAAACAACAAAAAAGCCTAAAAACGAAAGCATACTACATATAGTGAGGTCACAAAAATTATGCAGAAAGACTGCTCAGGAGATAAGCCCGCAGGAGAGAAATGACTGGACGTGTTAAAAAAGATGAAGCCGTTCGGAAAAAGACTCAGATCTAAACCAGACGCTATTATTTTAACAAAAACGACGCTGCGTCTTATGCGTATAACCTAAGGAAAATTAAATGTGATAGTGGCCTTGAGGAATTGGGTTCAAAAGTAAGGTACATCAAGAAAATCCTCAGAGGAGTTCTGCTAATAAAACTAAAAAACCAAGCAGACAAGAGAGCCGACATGGTCGAGAGCGATGTTAGAAGTAGTGATTGGTCAGATGGCGGTAATACAGCTAAAAACATATAACGTTACCATTATGTGCAAGGACCTGGACGAGATAATCACATTTAAAAAAAATTTGTGACGCATTACAAAAGGAGTGTGGGAACCAAAATCTAGTGAAAGAAAATGTAAAAATATGCGAAAAACCTGAAGCGGCATCCAAATAGCCCTTATATGCCTGCGTGCCGAGGATGTCAATACCGTACTTAAGCAAAGTAAAGATCGGCTGGTCTATTTGGGAATATTCATCTACCACTCGCTGTTCTAGGTGTTGCCAAGTGGGGCATATGGCGCATATATTGTATGCACATAGCATATACTATATACGTATACATATATGTATATGAAAGTACGGTATATTGTATTATCAAACATAAGAAACTCAGCTCATCATGCTGATCATTTATGTATATACTTTATAGGGTCTCAGATGTTTCCTTCTGGGTGTTACAAACTTCGTGGTAAACTTAATATACCCTGTTCAGGGTATAAAAATCGTCGAATTACAGGATAAAATAGTAAAAATGTTGCTATCGGGTTGACCTTTGCCAAAGAAAAAAATTCACAAAATGGCGTCGACAAAATAATTTTTTTTTTTACCTTTTCAATAAAAAAAAAAATTGTATTAAAATTTTCAAAAACCTGAGGCAGGCGCGATAGAAAGATGTGTAAAAAGGTTTTTTTTATCAAATTTTTAGGGAATCGGTTAAGTAGAACTTGAGATATCATGTCAACCACCTCAAAAAAAATAGTTTTGAGCAAAACGCACTTAAAATTTCTTCCTCTAGTATGCGCATCGATAATTCATTTAAGAACATTTATTGAGTCTATTTATAGCCATTTTCCCATTTCCCACATTGCGTGGTATATTTCAGAAGAGTCGAAGTTGTATTTTTCGATTTAACATTTGCGCCTTCTCGATTATCAACTTTCTCTGCTAATTATGTAATCACTCTCTAGCCGATATATAATTTCTGTGCACTTGCATGTTTACTGGGTTACATTGAGGGATGTACGAGTACCTGCTTCGAGTTCGTGGCTCATTTTATATTGCGTGTAAAAATTCACTTAGGCCCCCTGCCTAATTGTGGACGAGCTGAATTAATGCGTGTTTAAGAATTTTAATTAGGTACCTCATCAGAGCATTTTCACTTGCTCCTATGAGCCTCAGCGTTTGTAGTGATGAAGCACCCACACACGCACACGCAGGATGAAATGCAAATTTCCGGTTGCGAATTCGTTGACCAACCCATTATTGGCGTCAGTGCAAACAGGCAATTATGTTGGCGTAATGCGACCGTTATGTGGTGAAGCGTTTAGATATTTTCCACTGGCTGGGCGCCGCATTGTTTCGCTTAAGCCACGCGCCTTACCGCTGTCATTGTGGCGGGGATGTATTTTAAAGCATTTGCGTCGCATTCTAAAGTCAGTCACGTGTAGCACACTTGTAAACAAAAGCGTTCCCCACCACCCTCTTGCCGCTGTACAAACGCATATACATTCATTTATGTTTGGGTATTGAAGTGCCAGGCTAAGTAAGCTCTCCAATTAGGAGCTAAAATGCAGTCCACAGAAGATGTTCCTTCGAAAAGAGAGCAGCAAAGCTGTTTGACAACAGTGGATCAACAAATATTTCACTTAGTGTCGGTTCGCAGTCGAACTCTTTCGTCGCCTAAACCAGTTTTTATATTATAGAAAAAGGTGAATAAGGATAAAAATTAGCTAATCAGAAATATTTTTGTGCACCGCGTATATGAAGTGTGCAAGAATTTGAGAATGTAATATGAAAGAAAATGCATAAAATTGTGCAGGTCGTGTCGCTCGAGTGAACATAATGACCGACACCAAGAGAACTTGCCGGTTATAAGCAGCACAAAATTTCTTTACTGAACGCAGTCTTACTGAGCTCCGATTAAAGCGGCGCACGTTATGTAAACAAACCACAAAAGCTTTCCGCTAAGAGCCTTTTAGTGCTGCTCCCTGCTCTCTGGATATGCAGGGTCGGTTTTGACAGTTGAGCAACATCCAACACCATTACTTATGCATGTACTCAGTTTGCCTCTCCCATTCGCAGGCTTCCAGTGGCTTCCAGTCTCCGCTGTTTGCTGGCGGCGCGGCTTATCAGCGTCGTTGCGGCAAAAGGATGTGTTCAAATTCGCCTTCTGCACAGTTCGCGTTCGGTTCTTGGAGTTAAAGGTTGCGACCAGCGGAACAATTCAAACCTCACCTATAACGGTAAACACCCTAAAGGCAAATGTACAAGTGTGGGTAGGAAAACTAAGTGATGACAGTTGGAAAAGGGAAGAGTTAGAAGAGATTTAAGTGAGCAAGGAAATTCGAAGTGCCAAATACATACATATTTACTTAATTGAATTCAAAGCTGCCTGTCAAATGCAACATTGACTTGCAACATCATAACTGTGCCAAAATCACCGAGTGTGAGCATTTACAACTCCGTCAGAACCAAAAAGCCAAAGTGAAAGTGTAAATACAAAGAATACAAAGAAGAAAAGTCTCGAAAATCACAAAGTTCGTGAAAGTTTATAGCGACGCGAAAGGGAGTGAAGTGTGCCGAAAGAAAAGTGTAAAAATTTAAATACTTTTGGGGAAATGGTCGGCGATACACCGCCTGAATAAATTGAAAAGCCGAAAAAGTTTTCAAGTGCTAATAATCGCAGAGGTGTTTGTGTAACAATCGCGTACAAGAAGATGTGCAAATCCCAAAATCAGTGTGATGAATGTGTAAAACAGTGTAAAGACGGATGAGCCTACGCTTTCACAAGGACCTGGATTACCTTGTAAAGCTGACACAAAACGCAATTTCTTTCAGATCAGCTGTTTGAACGCGTCAAAAGGTAAATTTTACAGTTAGTCAAAGAAGTGCTTGATAAAGACTTCATAGAACCGAGGACATTTTGAAATTTTTATATAATTATTCAATTGATCATATTGGAATATGGAATCTTACTTACCTTTAACTAGTAACATTATTACATAAAAACATTCCACAATAACAACCCTCTATTTTAACTTTTTTTACACATATGTAAATATATATATCCCACACTCTGCAATGTGTGCGGATCTGCAAGTGCAACATTTTTACGATGCGCCCATCAGGAAATCCCACTGAAGTGAAAATAATGCTGATATCCTGAACAATAGTTACTCATCCTTTACCTCCCTCTATTTGATATGCTTAACGTGTTTCCAATCTCTCGCCCTCCCACCACATTCCATTTGTATCCTTGCTCCTTTTTTACTCTTTTGTATTGATTCAAATTGTGCTTGGCCTTTAACTTAGTGCGACATTAGGATATGCTGTGCAGGATTCGCTTACAATTTATGCTTATTGCCACTAAGTAGCAAGGACTGCTTAAAACAAGAAGCCTTTGTTTCTATTAGGTATGCATTATCATCATCTCTCCTTTGAATTTATCCTCTGGAGTCCAATGACAATAATTTTGTTACCGTTACAGTTTTGGCACTCGGTAAAAGTATGGAGGGATAATTTAGTGTAGATTATTAGCTATAAGATTATATTGGGTTCGTACGTGCCCGTAACTGTTTTGAACTGCTGATTCCGCACTTTTTTTGCATTTTCTGCTTATTGCTCTTTGCTCTAATGGCAATTTCCTCAGTAACGAACATTTACGTAACTCGAAGCGAATAGTCTTCTATAAAACTTGTGTAAATAGGTCATATGTTTAGGTTAAGGAGGACAGTCAAATGAGAAGACTCAAGAAAGAATGGTTATTATAATAAATGACACAGAAATCTTTCTTTTAACTCCGAGATTTTATTTTACACAGGTCTAAACTTTATAAATACCACTTGAAACCTCAAAATGGAAACTAAAACGAGATATTGCGTGATTTGCGAAGAAAATTATTCATGAACAATCATTACATTCACCTAAATCTAAGACTATAACAGTTTGGTGTGGTTTTTGGTCTGGTGGAATCATCGGTCCGTATTTGTTTCGAAATGAAGCTGGTGACAACATTACTGTCTATGGAGAGCGGTATAGATCAATGATAACCCATTTATTATGGCCGCAATTGGAACAAGTTGATCTTGACAACATCTGGTTCCAACAAGATGGGTCTAAGAGCTACACAGCACAAGAAATTTTGACATTGATTGGCTTTCAAGAAGTTGCGATTTAACACCATTAGTCTACTTTTTGTGGGGTTATTTGAAGTCGTTGGTCTTTAGAAATAAACCAGACTCTCTTTAAGTTTTGGAAGTCAAGATTGAACCTGCTATTCATGACATACGACTTTGGTGGAAAAAGTACTCGAAAATTGTTTTCATCGAACTCGTTACTGCATTGATTAGTTATATCACATAAGAATAATTTCAAATAAAAATTAATTATCATGACCCTTTGCAAGAATTTACGCAACTGCCCAAATATATAATAATGGCACTTGCCAACACTTTCTGTACAACTCAATTAAGTCACACATTGTCCTTATCAGAAATTTTTTTCACAAAGAAGCTGCCCAGTTAGTCCATGAAAGTTCTTAAAATATGCTTAAATTGAATTTTACGTGGCTAATTAATTTTTTTCCCTTCACAATGCTCAATAATGGCGTTTTTTTCTATACCGTAGACATAACAACTACAAAGCAGCGCTCACAGTATACCACCGCCAGTTTCCCACCGGAGTCCACCGCCTGAAACCGCAGCCTGCAGCTCGACTGCCACGACGTACGCGCTTAGCGTCCAGCGCCGTGTTTCATAAACTGCCGAGAAAGTTTCCACTACACGTTCGCCAAGTTGAACGGATCCGGCCCCCACACCCACACCGCCATTGTCAAAACGGAACGAGTGTGTAACGAACTTGGAAACTTTTCTAGAGCACTTAGCGCAACAGACTTTTTTCTAAATTTCATCGCTTGCCAAGGAGCATTTACACAACATAGAGAAAATACCGGCGCCTTGCATTGTGGTTGTTGCCATTCGCATTGGTGGTGGCGCCAGTGTCTATCGACCGACCTTGCAACGCGCTACGTGATACACAAATGAGCTGCGAGTTTTAAGTTTTAGAAAATGCTCGTAATTCGCTCCTAAGCAAAATGGGGGCAGTAATGTACATGGCAATTTGCACAAGTCGACTGAGTTCATAAACCGTAAAGCCAACGAAAAGTTGAAATAAAGAAGAACAATAACGACAACAATTGCCAGTAATCGAGCAACGCGCTGATCTCACAAGAATCTTAAACGGAATGATGGCGAGGTGGCTATTGGTAAACAAAAGGATACTAACCGCTTTTGTGCTTTGTGCGTTTGTTTTGTTGCAATTGCAAAATGGCGAGAGTGCACCTACGCACCACTTGGCCGTCAGCGTGGAAGGCAACACACCCACGCTCATAGTAACATCGGCGGAAATTGGCATAACGCCAAAAATTACGCACACTATGAGGACCACACCCACTCATCATGTGACAGAGGCAGCCGCAGCGGCTGCGAGTGTGGCGACAGAACGAAGCACTGAGGTACAAAGCGTCGGCAAAGGTAACGCACCAAAGCTGAAGGGCAAATCGCAAAAACTGCAGTACGGAAAGAAGTGGCAATATATGTCGAAGGCGAGGGATAAAAGCAAGGAAAAAGAGACAAGCCAGGATGAGCGCAACCCTACCACGGCGGTAGCAATCAAAGCAGCTCATGTCGCCCCGTTGTCTCGAAAAGTCGATAATGTAGCTACAATCGCTGCTACCCCAAGACAAAATACCGAAACTACAACAAACACAATAGCAACACATAAAAGTACACATCACTTTCAGGAAAATGAACCAGTTCCGGCTGAGACCAAGGAAAACATGGCAGTGTCAAGCGCCGGCTCATTGGCCTCGGCAAGCGTAGTCATTGCCGATAAGCCATCACAAGTTGGCAGCCATGCCGACGCATACAAGGTAAGCGCACCAGGCGCCGAAGTGTCTGCGACAACTGGCAACCTGCCACAATCAACCGAGGTGACAACAAAGCCAACCGACAACGCGGCTGATAGCAATGCGGGCGTAACGGCATTTGCTGGTGCTGCGGCGACACGAAAAATAACTCTGGCAGAACAAGTGACTGCCACACCGACATTCGTCGAGTTACACGACACCACAGCAGCCGCTACAACAACTGCACCGGGAAATAGAGAAGCAAAAACGCCAATCTCGGCGACAACAGCAAATGTGCCGATGATTGCAATCCAAATTGAAACGCTGCCAAAGGCGATAACGGTAACGACTATGTCGCCAGCTACAACAACAATGATTACTGAAACAGTCACCAGCGCACCTGCTACCACCAGTTACATTAAAAATGGCGCTCACGAAGTAGCAAAAACAAGTGAAGCAACAACAACAGTAACAACCACCGAGCTTCCAATAACTGAAAATGTTGCTGTTGTCAGTCAAAGTGGTCCGGCAATGTCAACATTATCCAACGGTAACCCCACTGTCGTCAGTACAGTAATTGAAAGGAGCTCCGCGAACGTCGGCGACAATCTTCCGCCATCGCCCCACCCACTCATAAGCAGCGCAGACCAAATAGTAAAACAAGCCGCTCCAGTAGTTGGCAGCACACCAACAACCACCAAAACTGTGAATAGGAAAACCTCCTTCACATCCACAACAACAGTGATACCATCGGCACTAGCCATGGCTACAACGAGCCAAGTGCCAACAATACAAACAATACAAAAGGTGAACACCGATAGTGGCATAATGTTTATTGATGAAGTGCCCGATAACCGCGACGACAGAAGCCATGATGAAGAATATCGGACGAAGACAACGGTATCGCACGATGAAGCCGTTATTGCCAAACATGGAGAAATTAAGGAATCTGCAGGACATGGCGACGGTGTTAGCGATAGTGAGGGCATCATAAAACTTATTGACTTGGAAAAACATGATTTAAAATCGATTGCGAAGACGAAACAATTCAACGGCAGCAACAAAAGTGCCACCTCGGGCGACGTCGATGAAGACGGTCATGATGGTGTGAAGAAAACAAGAAAAAAGCAACTCACCGATAAGCATTACATGCCGGCTGTTGATATGAATGTGAGCGCTGAATCGCATGTCGAAAATATTACCACTGCTGGTGATATAAAAGCAAAACAGGAAACACAAATAGATACAACGGAGGTTATTAAGGGCGAAAAGAAAAACTATGACAACGGCGGTGACAACAGCGAGGTGTTATCGACAAAAACACCACGCCTGGATGCCTCAACATTGGCACCTGGGGACCATGCTGGCAGCTCTATTGATGTTTCACCGTCCTTATTCCATCACCAAGTTGTCGAAAAATCTACGACAAATGTGCCTATTCTGAAGCCAGTACATAATGGTTACTTAGGACCGATTCTAATGGAAGAGAAACGCTTCACTGTTGTGCAGGCTAATAAGAAGGCTCACCATCATCACGAGACTTCAATAGAATCACAGCTACGCAATGGTCGCATCGTAGAAATTCTTGCGCCGACCTCGTTGTTGGAGCAGACCACAGTAGAGCCTCCAAAAGTGAGAACATTTGGCGAAGAAGCCCATAGAGTGTCAACAACTAATACAACCGCAGCACCGTCTCGAGCCCCAATCGCCTTTCTTTCTGCCACTGTGAACCACAACACACCAATGCTTTCCACTACTGTTTTTCAAGTTCCCGAGTTAATGAGCAGCACTACACGATTGCCGTTGAGTCAGAAATCTGCAAAACAACCACCATTCTTCAGTACCCCAAAGAACACAAACAACGACCGCACGGAGTCGAAAATATCCGATATTCAAGTGGAAGTCTATGACTCAACCGTGGATTCTATCGTAGCGTCTACAAATTTCAAAGATAGCGACGGCTTTTATGCTCTTCCACTAGAAACTGAGGCTGACTTGCGCAGTGGCACCACCAAGCCCCCAGTTGTGCAGCAAGAACGCTTTACACAATATGTTGTCGATCGAGCCGATTACGCTACACAAGAGTCTAGTGCCACACCTCAACTGAACATAGCATCCGGTAAACCAGAGCCAGCTGCTATCGAGATACATATTAACGTATCCGAGGGTATTGGAAATGAAAGTGAAGATCTGGAGTTTTCATATCGACAACAGGATTACACGGGTAGCAACTCAAAAACGAACACAATGGAGGAACTGATGGCGAAAACTGCAAAGGCCATATCGATGAAGCCACTCATTTCCAGCGGTCAGGTTCGACATAATGAATCCAGCACTCGTGAAAATGTTGAACGTGGTGATGAGATTTTAGTGGTGGAGATAATCGATACGGGTGATAACAGCACAGAAGGTGCTTTAAGTGCAGAGAATATTAATCCGATCTTCACATTTCGCTCCGACTCTGAGTCTGATGTAGAGTTGAAAGATATAAAATACTTAGCACCCGAAGTAAAAGTGAAACCACCACAAATATCGGATGAGTTATTCTTGGCGGACTTGAAGAAGGATGGTTCGTTGCCCAAACCACCACTACCACCACCTCCGCCGCCACGCAAGCCAACAATAGATCGCGATTCGGACACTATTTTCTATATTTCCAATACTGAGGTAAAAGTTGGCGAATCTCTTCCCACCACAAATACAAATTATGAACAGCAGCAACAACAGAAACAACAGCAGCAGAAATTGCGAAAGACAAGACTAGAGAACCAGTTCTTTCCAGCAAACTATTTAGCCAGTACTCATCCGAATGCAGCTAGACTTGATGAACATTTAGCACCCCAACAAATACGCTACGAAGAAGACATCATTCTATCACCTGTACGTAATACCGCCGATTCACTGAAGATTTTTCGTAGCCAAAGCGACGGCGCACCTCCATTGGACGTCACGTATGTTGGTGAATCCATAATGGAAGTAGAGCAATCCTCAGGCGGCGGCTCCGGCTCCAGCACTACTATCTCAACAGCCTCTGCCACCTCTGCACCTTCGCAAATGCCAGACGTAATCATACAGCCTGCCATTTTGCCAGAAATGTCGATTGGCGTGCCGGTGATAGGTGAGTTGCCGCCGCAAATTGAACTCAAGGAAATCGATTTCATGCCCGACGAAGCAAACCAGCAGCATTCAGGCATGTATGAGAACAACATGCTGGAGGATAATGGCAATGGGAATGGCAATGACGTTGATAGACTCGCCGAATCCTCCATACAGTACGGTGGCGATCTGATAGACGAGAGTGTTGGTGGTGGCGGCTTTGACGGGGTCGAAGGCTCTTACCCATTCGGCAATCCGGCGGCCTTAGCTCGCAACAAAGCACACCACGACGCCGACTATGCGCACTTCACGGTGAATCATGGCATAAGTAATCTGCGGAAGGATGAGTTGAGCGTAGATATAGCGGGCTCCGGTGAGGTGATGGCTAGCCAACCTGCTGCAGCGTCACTTAATAATCTGGAGAATGGTGAACTGAACGAACGAAGCGGCAATGAGACGTTCCCCCTACCAATGCTTGCGAATGGTAGTTATGCTGGATTAACGCCAGTTACGGAGCGTATGAGTAATGCCACCGCTTACTCGGTGATGGAGGAACCGAATGTATTGGAAGAAGGTAGGTATATATGCATATAAAAACGTATGTGTACACTCACTTATGTGAGATATATGATATGTGCCTTTTATTTAAGTAGTATTTCTGTTAATGAACTGAACTATTTTCAATTTATTTACAGTATTTAAAAACCACTATAAGCTGGCTGCTGGAATCTTCGTTGTGTTGTTGACAATCATTTTGACTCTATCTTTAACGGGCATTATGTGGTAAGTGATCTTTCCGTATATATGTACTGTATTTATGTACCATAATATATATATATATATATATATAGATATTTATAAACCATATCGTTTCAATGTTAAGGTGCACTAAGTTTAAAAGTGTAAGCATTTACCAGCAGTCGCTAGTTGGAGCAGTTGTTGGGGGCTGCCTGCGCGTGTCTACCGTCTTTTCGTCTGCAAAATTGATTGATTTCCATTTCCGTTTTGGGAAGTTTGCATTTGTCCTAGACACTTTGCTTCTTGCTTCAGGAGGCTTAAGTAAATGACATTTAAACTATAAATTCACTTGCGGGGACGCACATTAACCTACATCTAGATAAGTAATCCCTTCTTTGCAGTAAGTAAAAAATATCGTCGAAGTCTTCGTGGGTCCTGTCTTGGTTAAATAACTTTTGATTTTAACTGAAAGTTGTTTAGCCCCTTTATCTTGAAATGTCCATACGTGAATAATAATATTTTGCTATCCGAATGAGAACACGTTCTCGATTCATCACAGGGTTCAGCTGACCTATACAAAAGTGCCTCAATTATATACTTGTAGAAGCCAAATATTGCGGCACGATTCCCGCCGACATCTGTGCAAGTCCACTAAGCTCATTTTAGCTTTGACAAATCGTTGTTTTTTTCATTCCGGCATGACATAGTGATTGCCTCAGCAATAAATCTTCCTTTCTGATCTAGAGCACGCGTACACAGTGTGTTGTGAGCATTGACAAGGCGATTGCTCTACAGTTGCCTCATAAAGATGAAGAGGAGAGGTGCGGAAACTGTTACAAAAACCACAAACAGATGTAGCTTAAGACATTTTTTCGCATAAGACAACGGAAAGTAGATGTAAGATTGTATTCTTCACTTCTCCGGATGTCGCATAACAGAGATGAAAAAATGGTGGAATTGGTGGTAAGAAAGGGAAGAAAGAAAACGGAGTTAGGCCGCATTAGGCATGACAGATGCTGGTATGACAACTAAACATAAGGCGCGGTATGACAAAGCTTTACATTTGAGTAAACAAAAACCAACCAGCGGAACATCCACACGGCTCGAGAGAAGGGGATTACCGAGATAACAGTATTTGTGAAAAATAAATGAAAATACCAAAACATACATTACGCGATAATTCCAGGACATACTATGGACATGGTCGGACCTCTTGAAGTGTATGAGTAGTAAAGTAAAAGTGGATCGCATAATTAAAAAAATTAATTATTGAGTACAAATCATTTGTCATTTAGCCTCTTTCATCAGATTCTTGATGCTCTATATCTATCAATATTTTAGTAATTTTTAATAAAATATAAATTTGCAATGACTTTCTTTGATGTTGGTTCAAGGCGGCAATGAGACACTTTCCATACCAAAATAACAGTACCTGACTGATGTCGAGAGCTCAAAATGTATGGAGTAATATTTAATTGCGAAATTATTGAATTTCGGATGTACAAAGTATAATCCGTTCTTCATAGGCTTAGCTTTACATATTAATTTTGTTATCCAAACATCGAGTTCACCGCAATACCTCCACAGCCGTCATTTGCTTTTGCTTTGCTAAGGTATTCACAGCCACGTGCGCTACTTAAAGTTGCCACATATAACGGATTAAAGTGTGCAAAGTCTCAAATACAATATACTTTTGTTGCAAAGTTTTTGGGGGGGGCACCGGTCCCTGCACCATGACCATGAGCGCTCTTGAGCAGTGAGCATTACGAGTACCACACACATATGCGCGGATTCCGCGAGATTAAATCTCTTGAAAAGTCACTTACGAATTCATTTTAAAGTAAGACGGTGTCAGTGGTTCCAGCTAAGACACCCAAATCAATTCTAATGAAGATAATTTTTACGGTTCCAGCAAAAAAGGCATACAAGGCAAACGTGCGCACAAAGTTTTAAGGAGATTAGAAATTTTCTCCTCTGCAGTGTGAGACAGAGGCATTGGAGAGGCAGACAATAAAACAGCACGAAGAAAATTTTGGCCAAATTGGATTTCTAGCGGTGGTTTGTGACGACGTTTGCTGCCAGCTATTAGAGGTTGTAAATTGAATCAGTGAATGGGCAAACTTTTGATGTCAAGCCAACTTTTGGCATTCACATTCATTGTGCGAAGGTATTGCGACACGCATGTGCAACTGGATTTCGGTGCCAAATGAATAAATTATGCGAATAAATTTGACACTTTCCCGAGGCATCTGCACAAGCATTTAAACTGACATTGTTGCTGTTGTTGGCTGCTACATTTACAAATGTAATATTGTTGGATGATTGCTGGGTTATAGCCCCAAGGGTGTGGCATTGGGAAATTTTATTTGCAGATATGCCTCTTAACTTATAAGCAAAAAGTACCGTTGTTATGCGTCAAAGTGCACATAATTTTGTTTCTAACCTTCGTTATTGAGAATTGTAATGCATATACTTGTAGCTCCCGCTTTAGCCTAAACTTAGGGTTAAAAGCTTTTGCTAGGCAACATTTGCTCCAATTAGTAACCATTAACCAGCACTTTGGCTTCGATCCGAATTCGGTTCAGCTGAGCAAATCGTTTTATTTGATCTGGTGTCATTATTGTTCGGGGCCTTATTGCGTTATAAACCAAAAGATTCTCTTAAAAATGACTTGCAATCTGTTCTGTGGTTTTAGGTTCTATAGACTTGTATTATATATATGCACGCACAAACCTTAAATTTATCATTAGCTGCGAAATATGAAGTAGATGAGTGCGAAGATGGTTTTGTTGAGAAAAAAGATTTCTTCTTTATGTAAGGAGCTCTCGAGGGAAAATTGTTTTACTACAACTTTTAAATAAAATATATAAAAAAATTAAGCTAATAATTTTATTTCACTATTGATTGCTTCAGAGATAATACAATTAAATATTAAATATATATGTGCTTCTCTTCACAGGTTCTTCTACGCGAAGTTTTCTCGTTCACCGAATGCTTCGCACGCCAACCAAACCAATGGAAATGTAGCAAATGGAAAAAATGTTGGTGACGACAGAAAAGCACAAGAAGAGGTAATTGCATTAATTCCCACAGATACACCTCTGTTTTTGAAATATGCACAAATATGAATATTTTCTGAAAATGTATGTGATGCGCGGAAGAGCAAGGGAAGAGTGCTTTCTTCTACATAGGTTAGACACTTCACCCTACTGAAACGACGCATTCAGCAATGTTTTAGGAAATCTAATCGAACACATTTGCAATCGAGTGTGGCAACTCTGCCTCTCGATCGATAGTAAGTGCCGATAGTGCTGCAGAAGTGTTTGTCAACCCGCTCCATCGGCCTGGACTCAAGTATATATTTGCTCGCGTGTGTATTGGCGGCTGACAGTGTTGGTGTTTGTGTCTTCCCGTTGGGGTTCGCCTACAGATTAGTTGTCTAGTTGTTCTTGTACGAGCGTATTTGATGGTTCTTTGGTTGCTGAAATTTTAATTAAAACGGAGATGAAAACGCCAACGAAGTGTGACTCCAGCGAACACAAACATACACTTACAAGGAGACAAGCAGCCGCTGGACAGACACATGGATACTGATGTACTTTTATAACCAGCAAATTAAATCACCGCTTTGGTCTGATGGCAAGTTGCTATGTGTCCCGGTGACGCCGCCGAGTACGACGTGGTCTGTGGTTGGCTGAATCCAATATCATTGTCGGCGTCTGGTGGTGACATTTCAGCTGCTGGTTGGAAATTACCGGCGTTCTGTTTACACTCGCTTAGCGGTTTCTGTTCACACCTCCTGCGCACACCTTTCAATTTGTTCCGACCGCATTTTACCCATCAATTCGTCTGTGTTAGTTACTTTTGTTAGTTTCCATTTCCGAAATTAGTGCTGAACTCGCTTATTCATATGTCTGCTCGAATTTTGTTGCTATAGCGACCTGTCTCACGTATTCATTGTGGCAAGGGCTCCATTTACACTGCGGTTTTCAGTTTTTTCCGTTGTGGCTTAGGCACGTTGTTGTCTCTTACTGCTGTGTAGTTAAAGATTGGTTGTCAATGTTATTATATATCATCTTAAACGGTTTTTGTTTTAGTGTTGTTGTGGCTTAAAGGCATGAGAAAGTCTGCAAGTAAACGACCCACTAAATTGCCGTTGAAACTGCAAAGCGAGTCCTGAGAACTCGTGTCTGTGAGCTTTCAAGAGATGATGATGCTGACTTGTGAATACGAATTGGTGATTTTTGCACCATATTAAAGAGGAAAGTTCCTTGTTGTGGTCGATCGATCATCTTCTTACTTTTAGAAAATAATTGTACAACATTAGAAATGAAAATCAAGCTAACTTAATTTAACGTGTATACAATTAGAATATTATTATTGGGAAAATATTGCGTGCTCTCTAGTATTATGCCATTTTTTTAGGCATTTTACTGACCTTGATATAACTTTGTTCTGTCAATTATATTGCTTTTGATTACTTCGAAATGTTATCCAATTTAAGTTAAGCTTCAGTCAGTCATATCATTCTACAGACAAATTCATACTCTCATACTCTTTCATTTCTTTGCTTTGAAACTTTCAGTCCACAAACGACACTGCGACCTCAATACCAAATCAACCGCTACCGTCCTCCATCGAAAACCTCAGTAATGGAAAGTGCGTCAGTGCGAAATCCAATACCAGCAAACCGTCCAGTTGTGCCGTGAAAAATAGTAGGTGTAATGGTGCAAGCGGCGCCGCTGCCGTCGCCACTGTCAATGAACAGCCAGATGACCTGTTGCTGTTGGCGGCTGAGTGCTCCACTGCAACACCAGCTTCAATCGCAATGTCATCACCAGTAAAGCCCACTGATAACAATAAGTCGAAAACTCAGGCCAATCTATCTAACAACTCCGTCCAAGAGAACTTTACACGTCCTAATGGCTCTGTCACGAAGATGACTTTGAAAAACAATCACCTGATCGTTGAGACTGAAGAGCGACACGTAAGTGCTCGATGTTGAATGTTGAACATTTGCCGCTGGCTGCTGGGTGTTGGGTGTTGAGTGCTTAATGTTGACTTTTTGTTGGTGTTGTTGTTGCCTTGTGGGCTTGTTTTGCGCCAATGTGTGATTATTTTTGTTGCTGGGCGACAAGTGCTGGGCATTAAGAGATTTGAGGGGCTTTATTTGGCAATTGAGAATTGGTTGGCATCCACGACCGCCCTCTCACATCTACACCCCCACTCGCACATGCACTCATCTGAAGCACGTCACTGAAGCGGTTCAACATTCGTTTGTTTGCTTAACTTCTTCTTCTACTTACTTCTTCTTCTTCTGCACTTACATATTCTTATTTGTTTGCTCTTCTTGTCGTTATCGTAGTCTTTGTTATTCTTACCATTCTTCGTATTTTGTATTTGCTGTTGTTGTTGTTGTTGTTTGCTTGTACTTATTGTTGTATGTATTTATATGTATTCGTACTTGCTCTTGTTGTTGTAGTTGTCGTTAATTTCGTTGTTGACACATTCAAGCCATTTTCACAACCTCAAATTTTCCCCCCTCTCTCTCGGGTTCTCACCCACTCTCTGTACGGATATTATGAATTTGTTGACTCTTTTATATGCGTACTATAGCGCTCTTTGCGTTATTGTTGTTGGATGTCCTTGTTGTAAAACCCACTTTGCAGACTCTGAATATACGTAAGATTTGCCGAATGACTGTGGAAGATGAAGTTGTGAGAAGTCAAGCTCAGGAGAACTTTAAACTCAGCTCGTTGGAACAAGAATGTTATCCCTACATTTAATGTTGGCACTCGGCTGTACATATGCACGCTTTAGCTCCTCTTTAATTTTTTTTTTTGAAAGTTTAATGTAAATTTTTCAAAGCTCTTTAAAATATGAGCGAAAAACTATGCTAACGAGATGAATCCGACTGTACGCGTAATTAAACATTTTATTAATGAAATTATATATGGTAATATCTTGATATAATCATACATAAACTATACAGCACACCACATCGTAATTTTTATGAAACTTAATGCATTTTGTACTCTCACTTCAGAAAACTTTTCATTTTCAAATACAAATGTAAATTATTTTGTACTGTGTATCAACCGATTTTAATTGTAATTTTTGATGAACCTACTATATATTAAAATTTCACTCAGAGCAAAGAAACCACTTAAATGTATCCAATCATTTGCTTATTTCTTACAGGATATTTCACGGGTCGCTCGCGAGACCAAAATGCATTATAATAACTCCGAGAAGGATGGTGTGTTCGTCGTTGAAGTTGCGCGGGGCGTTGACTCCAAAAGCATGCCCGGCAGCCCTATCACCGAAGAGCCGCGTCCAATCTATGAAGGAACACCGGCAGCTGCAGCCGCAACTATTCTACGAACAGAGGATGAAAAGATATTGCGCAATCATGAGGAAATACAAATCCACCAACCCCCACCAGAGGCTCTGCAGCAGCAAATTCCAAATTGCTTAGAGGAAATAACCGAACGTAGTTTGCATCAGATCGTCGAATTGGAAGAACCAGCCCTCTCACCCAACTTGGAAAGAGATGGTGCAACTACAGAAGGCAAATCTAACCTCGTACACAATTCCAATACCGGTCTTTCCCAGTCAGATTTGAGCTCTACATCGTCCACTGACTCCAACAAACGCTATTCATATGGCAATCAAGAGCTCTACATCATTGAATCAGCCACATATGTGACCGCGTCACCATCTTCGCACTTACCACTCGCACGTCCAACAGCACACAATATGGGCGAGGATGATGACCATAGATCTGAGAATGGACATAGCCTAGAGAATTCGCCCGCTGCACAAGGAAATGGCACTACTTCGATGGCCAATGACAGCGCCTACTGCAATGAAGTATCCAAAAATGAGCACAATAAAGAGAACGTATTATCGGAGAGTAATATGAAAGCATCTCATATGATTGAAGACTTGTCTGACGCTAATGCACCAGAGATTTCATCGGATAGCGGACGAATGACACCAACAGAGCCGGGAAGAGAGGTAGAGACTACCACTGCTATCGTAGAAGAGATGGTTGAAGTAGAAAATGAGGAAGAAAAACCTGAAGTCAGCCTTGAAAATGAAGTTACACAGTCAAACGAGAAGGAAGAAAATGTAAAGACAGATAGTATTACAGAAGAGACAGCAAGAAACTCAAATGAGGTATTAGGTGAAAATTGTATTAACAACAACAATATATTAGAATGTACGAACCAGGTGGAAGACCTAAATAACACCGAGCGCAACATCGAACATCAAAGCTCTGATATTGTTCTAGATAAAGAACCTGCAGAAGATATACAGATTTCGCTCAAATGTGGTGAAGATGAAGAAAGTGTAACGGATATTAATGTAGCTCATCCTTCATTTCCACAACCAATACTTTCGAATTATGGCTACGATAGTATCATTAGCTTACCTGATCCACCATCCAACGAGGAGATAAAGCAATTAGCCGATTTTGCTGGGTTAGAGAATAATCAATTAGACTCCTTGCCACCACCATCGCCACCACCGCCACCGATTGCCGCTGACTTAAATGACAACAACAGGAACATAGAGAGTAATGCGAAAGGCGTCGTCACCCACACCACCAGCTCATCTACCATCGAAGACGCATACGACACCACTCCGACTCAGTTGAAATTAAAACAACTTTTATACAACAACTCTACAGAAACGTCGGCAAACGAGTTTTGCCAAGCAGTAGTCACAAACGGTAATAGTCACGATACAACCAACGGCAATCTCATTGGTAAAGTAAATTCTGCCTCAACCGACTTGAATGGCCACGAAATGACTAACGGGCATGATGTGAATTTGGAGCTGAGTCCCAACCATGAAAGCAACGCGGACACTGGCACGCTGCCAGAAACTCCACTCACGCCACCGGAGTCGCCACCGCTCGCCTCACCCGTACACTACACGAACAGCATGAGTACTATTAATGGCATGAAAGGGGTCAACAGGGGCATTTGTGGCGGGCCAATGCCTGTTGCCGTGGACGTCAACGGTAGTTAATACGAATGCCGAGCAACAGCCATATTCTGCAGGCCTTGAACCCACACAAGTGATGCTGTCGTTATTCGCATTAGTGACTGGATTTTGATTTCTGGAACTTCTGAAACTTCAAGGGTATGTGGAAAAATTAATGGTTATGTCGAATTTCTCGAGCAATGCAACGAACGAACCAACCATTGACACAAAAGTGCAATGGCGGTGGAAGTCCGTACGATGGGGAGTTTGCAATAGAATGAAATAGAATATTTAGCAAGTAAACGCATATTTGTATCTTAGACTGTAAGTTTTTACGATACTTAGTCAATGGCAGTGGTCTGTTTTATAAAGGATAATAACCCGATCAATTTCATATACAAGTACTCTACACACAAGCTAAAGCCAGTCCTCAATGGACGATAAATGAAAAGGAAATATGTAAATTAAGAAGTCATAAGAAATCTAAACAAGCAATGGTAGAGAAGAGTAATGTCCGTAGTCAACGGTTACTCTCGATGCGGGCTTAGTTCAAATTGTTAATGGATGTACCAATGGACGAAACGTTTCGAGTGAAAATGTTCTCTATCATATGGCGTTACAGTTTTATTACGCGAATGAGTGGCTGCTCTTCTCGGCCATTTTCCACCAATGCTTGAGAATATACACTAAATATATTCATGAATTAATGGAGTAATAATCAAATGAAATATTGATTGAAAAAACATGGTTAGCAGACAGACGTTTACAGTTAGTTACGAAACAATTTTGAACTAGGTATTGTAGCAGGCCATAATCAAATCATTTCAACAGTAAAACAAAATAAAAACGCAAAAGTCGAAGTGTGGCTATGAAACGGAACAAGATTTGCCAATATATACATATAGTTGTAATGACATATACATCCAAACACATTATCATACTTGAATGACGAGCATGCATGTGCTGGTATTCAGAAAAATTATATATTCCCCAATAGTAAGAAAATAGTACTTAAATCAAATTCTGACTGGCACCCTGTAGAAAAAAGGGCTAGTCAGTCAAGAGTCTGGAGGGACTAGAGAATTTTCCATCATTCAGTTACTATATACATACATACATACGTGCATATACACACACTTTTGTGAGCCCCTTACTTAGTGTTTTGGCAAGTAGTTTTGTAGAATTCCAAGCAGTTTTCATGTATTTGCGCTTAGGGATTTCGTAAATCGCATTTAATATACTTATATTAGAGGACGCAATATGCGACGTGCATTAATACTCGTATATACATACCATACATACTTATTAGATGTCTAGCAATAGAAAGAACTCGAACTAGAAGATACTAAAAGTAAACAAGTTCAAGTGTCGACCAATAATTCGTGCCAGAAAATTAGCCAAATTTTATCAGAAATTAATTAAGTCTAAACTATAGATTTTTTGAATGAATGTGGGAGTGCCATTCTAAGAAACGAAGGCGCTGAGATTTGCACTCAAATTAAAAGGAATTAGAAGGCGTACTCCGAGTTGACTTACACCTAACATATTTAAACCTTGTCCACACACCCATACCCCCGAAAAACTTAAACACAAACCTTCGTCTGTTGGAAAAAAAAAACCCTATTTAAATGTCTATCTATTGTTCTTATTCAACTTAAACAGATATAGCGTAAATACGAAAATGAAATAACAGAAGTTCATTTAGGAGATAGTTAGCAGATACCAAGCCCAAAATGAACAAACCAATAAACACAGAGAAAGAGAGTAAAATGAGGCAAGAGAATGAATGTGTGCCGATTTTTACATTTTACAAAAGTTTACATTTGAAATTACTCGGGAGTCAATCCATTTAAAATAATCCGTAAAAGCAAAAATTACAATAGAGTTATAAATAAACAAAAAATAAAAAAGTCAAGATTTAGAAACGAAAATGAAAATAAAAGATATGAAAAAAATCGTTTAATATTTAAGCTGAACTAATGCAAGCCAGCGGATACCTTTCCCGGCTGACAAGCGAGCGCTCTCCAGAGGTAGGGAGCAAGGAGGCGAAAACTGAAAAAATGCATCAGTGTTTCATCCAACTGTATTTTCGCGTTTTATTATGTTGAGGGTTCGGGTGAGGAACGAAATGAGGAGAAATTAATTGAATAAATAAATAAATCCATAAAAAATGTTTATTGCGTACATAAATTTTTAAATTTTAACAATAAGTAGTTATTAATTCGCAATGGCGGCAATTGTAATGGCGAGCAGATGATTTTAAAGGCGAGTTAGCCCGACAAAAGTGAAATGAAACACTAAATAATACACAATTAAAAATGTATTAAATGCCATATTGCGTGATGTAAGCAAACGTAAAGGTTAATTTTGTGAATGGAAAATCAAATAAGCAAAAAAGACAAAAAGACAAAAAAATTATGGACAAAGTAAATGTGATTGTTATTTAAACTTGAAACAAATTATTAATATTAATAATAATAATTATGGTAAATGAAAAATGGTAATAAACTAATTAAAAATAAAAACAAATCACTTGTTTGTTATTTCACGTAGACGGATGGATTAAGCGGCTAAAGGGGGTGAAATGTTGCATAACGTTGCAGTTCAGTAAAAAAGAGAATTGATCCCAACTGCTGATACACATATGTACAATTATATATCACTATGTATTTTGCACTATGAGTTCCGCATTTACATATCTCGTATTATGTGAACTTATATATATGTAAATATATATATATATATACGAGCGGTTTTTAGACTTTCGCTTTTAGCAATAACATTTTATGGTTTGTGATTTCCTGAAATGTTTGAAAAGTTTACTCAGAAATATGAATTTAATAGGAATTATACAACCAAGGTACTGACTAGCTACTTTAGGAAATCATTCCCTGAGTTTATCTGAAGTTAACTCCAAATTCTCATTCAATCCTGAAGAATTGCTGCAGAAAATTTAAAAGATATATTACCACCATATATATGAATATTTGCCATTAAGAAGAGGTCGATGACAATACCAATTTATATATGTTTAAAAATTACAGCTGAGTCGTCTCAGCTACATTACATACCGACATTAATGATTTTTCCTGAGAGTCATATCTTTCAGTGTTTTCTAAAGTTAACATGTACAGAGGCAATGGATGAACGGACTAGTGACAGACTAGGCTAATTTTATACCTGTTTGACAAAAAATAGAATAAAATAAGGTGAATTATCCACATTTCCAACTCTCAATTTCTGTGATAAAAGCAATGCCAATGTCAGTTGATGCCCCATCTCTGCAAAGCAGCAGAGTTAAATTCTTTTGCACAATATCATCCTACATTTTTGTTGCTGTTCTTAACTGAATAGAAAATCTCCGTTATCTAACGAACTCAGCCTCAGTCGAAGCCCTACGAAAAGTACAACCGAATCCTTCCTTCATCCATCATCTCCTTAGCAATGGTGTCTATGGAAATCTATAAATATGTGAGTAGCGGAAGGCGGTGTGGAACACTTCAGCGAAGCGAAAATATTTAATGAAGGAATCGACAACTGTCACATCGACAGCTGCTGTGCTGCAAACAGCAAAGTCGGTCGAAAAATGTGCACAACATTCGTATATTCAAGATGCTTACCCATACATGTGTGAGTGCCGCAGGAAATGTCTTCGCGTGACACCGCAGCTTGCCGACACAACTTTTGGTGCGGCACTGCCGCAGGTTGCAATCACGATGTCGCTTGCAACGAGGGCTTTACGACTTCTTTTTAAAGTGTGCTTTTGAAACAGTTATGTAAATATTAGTGTTTACATTGGAGAATGTGCCTGTGACGCCAAAAGCGAAAAATATTCTAACAAGATGGCTCCGCATACTACAAATGATCACATGAAACGGTTTTCCATTTCTTGTGGTACTCTCAATAACGGGGTTTTTAGAAAGTAACTCGGTGGGTTATATTAAACTTATAAGAGGGCAGAACCACCCCAACTTAAAAAAAAATTTTGAAACATGCTAATGCAATTCGTCGTAAAAAATAACCGTCTAGTTTCTTATTGTGGAGCTTAGTTATGGTAATTTATATGTTTTAGATTAATGGCGTTTTGTGGGCGTGGCAATGATCCGATTCTGCAATACCAACCCTTCTTGGATGCCAGGAAACATGTGTACCAAGTTTCATGACGATATCTCAATTTCTACTCAAGTTATCGCCTGCACGGACGAACGGACGGACAAACAGATTCCATATAACTTAATATGTAACACGATTAGTTTAAGGTTATACAACTAGAAACTAGAATACCCTTCACAATTTAAAAATGATTCTGATCGTTCAGTTTGTATAACAGTTATATGTTACAGCTGGTCGATATCGGTGGTTACGACAAATGAGCAGCTTCTTGAAGAGAAAAGGATATAAGATCCGATCGGTGTCTCAAAAACTGAGGAACTAGTTCCCATATATATAGACAGACGAACGGGCAGGCGGGCTTGGCTAAATCGACTCAGCTCCTCACGCCGATCAGTTATAAACCATATATACTTTATAGTTTTTCGGACATTTCCTTTTGGGTGTTACAAACTTTTTGTCAAACTTATATATCCTGTTCAAGATATAAAAACATATTTATTAAATAGGTTATCTTCTACCGAGTATATATGTGTGAGCGTCCATCACTGATATTTCTATACCATCTGCAATAGTTAAACTGCCTGCCACTGTGCCTACACCCACTGACATAATGGCCGTATAAGTGCCCAGCATTCAAACCAAAATGAAAACTAAACGCACGCACAATCATCACCATTCGGTCGGGGCCTCATTGAATGCATATTTTGCAAATTTGAGGTTAAATAAATAAGAGCCTCACGACTACGACGACTCCGTATGCCAGGTGGCTGGTGCAATTATTTGTATATCAAGTATCGTGGCTAGGAGGGTGCACTTACAAATGCATGTACAAACTTACAACAACAGACTCTTACACTGTTCTACTTTTGCGGCAAGGCAAGCGAAATTCAGTTGCATAGAAATATAGTCGCGGAACACTAACGCAATGTGTGGCATGCAACTACTCATAGGCGATGGGTCATTTAGAACCTGAATAAGTGTGTACTGAAAGCGAAATAAAACGAAGAAATACAAACGGAAAAGGCAGATTTAAATCAAGTTGCCCTGAGAGGAGCAACAAAAGCGGCGCCCAGTACCATATTAACTTTGGTTGTGAGTTATTAGCATTTATTGCGTCCTTCTATATTTCTTCTGCTACACCATATAAATAAATATTTATATATGCTTTGTGGAGAAATAAACTATTCCGAAGGGGTTCAGTTTTGGGTTCCGAAGCGCCTTCGACTTATATTTTCTGGTGTGCTGCATTGGTAAAATAAAATGATATAAAATATGATAAAAATATATTAGAGCTGCTTTCATTAATTGCTGGATCTTTCATAACTGCACCAACTAGTGTGAAAATACGCTAAAATCGCAATAGTTGTAAATTCCCGTTTCCCTGTAGGGAACTTCAGTATATAAAATACTTGTGTCTCTATGCTTAGAGTCGAGTAGTATCAAATGACGACTTTATTTAATACTGCAGATTCGTTGGCCATTTGAAAAATTGCATCGCCTGTTGCAGGTAGTCATTGCCTTCGGTGTTATTGCAGTTGGTACTGCTGCCACTATCACTGTTATTTCTTTACTTCCGCAGCATTCTTTATGAACTTGCAGACGTGCATCATACATACAAAGCCACCCTTGTTAGTTGACTGCTTCGCCGCTGCTGTCCTCGTTCTTATGCTCGTAACTATAATACAATAACACAATGCAAGCATAAATTGTTGCAGATTAGGTGCTTGCCGCAGTTAAAGTAATGGAAAGCGGCACTCAAAAACACGAAATGCTGTTAGAATCAGCAAAATGAAAACTAAAGTGGTAACCGAAATTTTTCGATTTGCTAGACTTTCAATGGGTGAGGGTAGTAGCGTCTAGCTATTCAGTGCAGCCGCAAAATCTTTCTAGCTAAATTCGATAAATAGAAATAAAAACAAAACATCTTTCAGATCACTATTCTTAAACCCTTTTGCTCTGTGAGATTGAGACAGAAATTCAAACACCAAAACTATACACACATATATATTATTTCGAATTGCTACAATATTACAAGTATGTTTCTTTTGGCTTAGAGTGCATAAATTATTCGACAACACGCTTCTCCAACTCGACAACGAGCAAAACGATCGAAGGTTAAGATGGAGTATTTTAAAACTATTTACATCCCAATAGTTAAGTCAGATACAGAAAATCTTCTTGCATTCGATATTTATGGTTTGTGCAGCGAAAATGGCGTTGATTATATAAACACATCTCTAAAATCAGTTTCAGAATAAATTTAATTCAAATACGGCGATAATCTCTCTCATAATGTTTTTGTTGTTCATTTCCAAAAGTGTTTTAAAGGTTGCCATGTTGGCTGAGACTTGTTTTCGTGGTGGTAAACGCATTCAGTGTCTGGTATCTAACAATATAAGACTACCAGGGATACACTCAGGAAGACATGTAGACTTTACATCATTAATTTTGCACAACCGGATTGCTCGAGTGGATTTAATGCAATTTCTTTTGT